ATATATGCGTACGCATGTGCAAAATATATTTATCCATTTATTATCTCACGCAAGAAACTTCTAATACCCTTTATATTTCATTCATTCGATTATTTTAATTAACACAAAGAATCTTTCACTCCAGCTTCTTCTTCGTATAAGTCTTTTTGTAAAAGCGGTAAAACATATAGAAAATTATGATCACTTGTAAAGCATACATCCATGCAAAATATTTCCTGTCTGGATCGCACGAGGGCAAGAATGCTTGAGCTATATGTATCAGTATAACGGTGAATTGTATCTGTAATCATATAAACGCAAATTAGGAATAACAAAAACAATAAAATATATATGACTTTATTAATTTTTGTTTAGTTTTTTTTTTAAACTATCTTGTATAATATTATAAAAATATTCATGAAATTCAATAAAAAAAAATTATAGGTAGATATAAAGTTAAAAAAAATAAAGTCAACCGCATAAGACATTCTTTTCGAAAATAGGAAGAAAGATAACGCGTGTAAAGTGCTCTTATCACCAACAATTTCTGCTTCGCCGAAAATACACGTTGCAATGCCTAAGTATTAGAACAAAGTGCAATATATGCATCTTCCAGCCCAATATTCAGCAAGAAAAACATACTAACTTTTTCGTAAACTTCGAATCCGATACAAAAGAAAAAAAAGAAGAAGAAGGTGAGAAGAAAGAGGTGGACAAAAAAGAGAAAAGAAATAGAAAAGAGTTGAGTACAAAGAATCTTGAAACCGGAAAATCGAATATCGTATTTTTTTAAACGAAAATATTAAGCACAACAATCTGTTTTTCCGTTTATGAAATCATTACATTGTTGAAAATAAAAAACTAATAAGAACAAGATAAAAGAAGATATTACATAAACTCATACCATTTGTAGTGTCGTGATATACTTTTTCACCGGATTGATAATTTCTCTTACTTTTGGTCCACAAGCAGCCAATAGATAATAAGTGTACATGATTACATGGACTATACAATTTGGAATAACTATAAAAGTCCACATGCCACCTGAGAATAAATATAATTACTTATTTGTGTATTTTCGTCTTACTGTTAAAAGAGGTATAATAGGAGTTTTTATTAAAATTAGTAAATAAACAGATTATATAAAAAAATATAATGATCGATCGTTAATATATTCGATTAGAACAAATTAATGTTCGATAAAAATATAATTTTCTAAATAGATAAATTTGTAAATAAAATATACAAAATATGTTGGCTTGAAATAAAATAATAATTATATCACATACCTGGAATATATTTACAATTAATCCATGCGAAACAAACCGTTGAAGAATGATGATAAACGTGAAGAATAGAAATCTGATTGGATTTCTTTCGAAGAACAAAAACAATTGTGTCGCTTAATTCGACTATTTTCATTATAAAGATCCACCAAATCCAATCTACCATCTATAAATCAATAAAGTATAATATTAACAATCGATAATTTTAATAATTAATTCATATCTACTTTGCAATTAATTGATCGTTTTATTAATATTTGACTGTCACTAGACATCTGATATGTATTGTGAATTCATAGATATAATTAAATATTTACATTCTTTTGCCATTCAATCACGATACTATTATTATTACTAATTATATAATAATACTTACCCTAAGAGGTTCAGGTTCATAAGAAAGACGATAAGGTTCACATCCAAGGGAAAGATTTGTCGTGTAACCCGACGTGAGTACCTATAAAAAAAAATATTTCTTTTAATATACAAGGTGCAGCAATAATTCTATTTACATTGAATGCTACTTTAAAGATGTGGCATATAAACAGGTAATAAAAAACTTTTGTATGACGCAAATAATTGTAGACATTTGTAAGACATAATAATATACCTAACTATTGACAAATCTTTAATACATTTTTTAATACCGGCTTTCGCAAAACAGTAAAAAGAAAAAATACGTCATTTCATCTAACAAAATTAACACTTTACCGACCGCTAGAGTTCCAACAGCATATGCACGTTTGATCGACAGTTTAGCCGCAGTTCATGTAATTACAATGATCTTTATCGCAATGTCAACCAATTACTAAGTTTACGATAGGCGAAAAAAAGCTGACTAATAAATTTTTGTTCAGTAAGTGTCGGTAACAAAAAGCCTATTAATAAGCTAGCGGTCGTTAAGGTTTTAAGATAAGCTTGAAATATTCGCTGTACTTTACTAAAGAAATTAGCGTCATGATATGCTCGGTCCCCTCTATGCTACTTCATGCAAGTTCTCTATTAAACATTTTTTTGTATTATTACAAATAACAGAAATTTTAAAGGTGGACAGAGTAATTATATTTAGATGTGAATATTTCAAGAATAAATGATCAGAATGATATGGTCATGCAGATCATTTGTATTCGTTTTTAATACTCTACAAGAATATTGCAGGACAAAATATATATAATTATATTTAAGAAAACATTAATAATTTTGAAATCTCTTTAAAAAAATTCTATTCTTTCCAAAAATCTAAAATAAACCAAAAATTCTAAATATTTGATTTTGATAAAATTGTTATTATTATTCTTGTATTATAATCTTAAATAAAAAATATAACTTTGCTTACTCCATAACATGTGACTCCACTTGCAATTGCTAGCAGACCGTTATACAGAATCATAAAGCTGTTCAGTTTGTAAGGTTTCCGATTTTTCATATAACGAGGTCCGATATGAAGAACGAACCCTAGATAAGCAAGCAAGATCAATGTCACAGCGAAGGGATCTTTCATTAAAGGTAAATTCGCCACTCTGGGATCTAAAATAAACATTTACTATCATTAAACATTTAAAAATCGAAAAATCTTAATAAGATATTAATTATTTACTCTGTTTTCGGTCAACAATTATTCGACTTTTATTTTATTTTTAATATGTTACTTGTACATACATAATGTACGTATTATTTAAAATAAAATAAAAAATTTATATAAAGATATTTTCTATTAATTTATTTTATAAAAATAACTTCAAAATGTAAACATTCGAAATATTTAATATTCTTCGAATATGTTATGTTAGCTAAACTAATGAAAAATAATAAAGTTAGAAACAAATGTATTGTTTATATCGTCGAGTAGTAATTGTGAAAAAAAGCTTAGACTACCGATTTCGGATCAATCTATAGAAGCGAAAAATATTTCAAACAAAGGGTACACCATTAACGAACAAAGGAATCCCACATAGAAGAAAAATATTTAATGTGTTCGTTCACCTGCAATCTCCTCGAAGAGATAATGATAGGCCTTCGCGAAGTCCATGTCCTATCATCCAAGTTAGCCAGGAAGTAAGAGAACAAAATCCGGTGTGTCCACAGAACCAAGGAATAACAACAGTAAAAACATCAACACCAACCCAATAACGGTTGTTTGATTGTTCACGAATGTAAATAAAGAAAACACGAGTAGGTCAGTTAAAAAAGCAGGATACCGGTGCAACGGCGATGGTTGTCGATGGTAGCCAAGGAGAGAATGACAGAATAACGAACTAACATATACAGATAATACATTGCAAAGTCACGTATTTATTAAACGAAATTGGAGGGGAGGCAAGAAGAGGGAAGAGAAAGGGTAAAGCAACGTCACAAAACTTTTCATCTGTATTAAATCGATTTGAATAAATAATCTTAATTATACATATACATACATATACATACACACGTGCACTCACGCACACGCACACGCACATACACACATAACAAAGATCCTGATGGAAGATAAGAGAAAAATTATTTTACCATTTTAGTAATTTCCAATTTTAATTAAAAATTATTCATCGATTTTAGTTCAAAGGAAGGAAAAATATATTTAAAAACGAAAAAAAGAGAACAAAATAAAAGGAAAGGCTTGATGTAATTTATGATTTCGAAACGATTATTTCCTACGTAAATCTTTCTCCCGTATATAAACCGAGCCGGACAAAGACAATAAATGAAAAGTAATTACACACGTACATGTAATGTATAAAGTTTCTATGTACTTAAAAAAGAGTTGTGTGTTAATCGTTTTATTTGAAGTTTTTTGTTTCTATGAATCTTAACAAAAGTTAAAAGAAAATAGTTTTACCAGAATAGCTATTACATCTCCTACTAGAGTGACAAGACCGAGGACGTCGAAGCATACATATTGACAATGATAACTGACATTATTAAAATTTGTGCAAATTCACCAAAACAATTATCCGTTAAAGATAAACATTGTTCTAAAAATTACTTTATATGTTACACTCTGCATGTATAAGAACAAAAGCTAATACTTTATTGACGAAATCTTTCGTGATACCTACATATAAATATTATATTTGATCCTTGAAAATAACTAAAATAATAGAAATCCACGTAATGTTATCACGTGAAGTTACAATATAGCGTAATATAAAGAATTAAAAGATTCGAAATGTTACGAGATATTTCGATTATATCTTCTGACGTAACAAGGTAATATCTTCAATTCGTTACGTAACATGCTCCTTAAAATTCATTTTATAAAATAACTATTGCCATTATTTATGAATTCATGTGGTTAACAATCACATTATCCTAAATTATCTTCAAGAAAAATGCAAAGATGACCACATTTAAGCACAAGACTAACAATAAATTTCATTATAGTTATAATAATATATTTTTAACACGAATGCATAAGGAAAACAGAAAGTTTACTTAGTTATGTATCTTTATTTACAGTTATGTATCTAGATACGAAAAAAAATCAAAAAATAATAAAATATTTTAACCGTAATTTAATAACGATTTATGATTCTTCTACCATTCATCGACCATTTCAGCAAAGACTATAACGATTCAGAAATATAGATAGCTACTATTACAGAAGTAGTTCCTATCAAGAACGATATAGTATTCACTTAGAATAATTCAGAATATTATTAAATTTGTTATTCAATTTCTAATTCCTTAACTAGTTTGTAAAATATTTTAATATGGCGTTACATAGTATGATACGTAATACATTTGTATTACATAATAGAAATAATTATTAAAATTCCATAAGAAAAAAAATAAAACTATTTTTAAATACATTTAAATATCCGCAAGTAAAAATATTCCTTTATGTTAAATATAATTTATGAATAAGAATAAAGACAATAAAGTTGCTTGTATAGTTACAAATTACTATGGAAGAAGCACCTTATAAAATAGATAGAATAAATTAATGCGTAAAAATATTGAAGATTGTTGAGGAATAATAAAAACAAACATGTATTACGAAAAACGGATATCATCACTATTTTATTCATGACAATGTTTTATCCCAAAATTCGTCATTTAAAATACTTGTGTCCTTAAATCAATGTTAATATATCAAATTAACGCGCATATTAAATCTATTTATAATTATTTCAGAACGATTAAATTCGAGGTTGCGTCTGTTTTAGTTAACTGCAATCGATCGATGCCGTCCAATCTTAGTACACTGGGTCTTTAAATTCATCGAAAATTCTCGTGTAAAAGTAAAGATTATTGTTATATGTTAACAAAGCTACTGAAATTTGATCTAAAAACAAAATTCGGATGAAGAGATCATTTAACGATGATCTAGAAAGTCGACGATGTGCGCAGGTTTACAGGATAGAGGTAAACCAAAAGAAAAAATATATTTAAGTGACGCACCTGCGATCCGCAAGCCGGGAAACTTTCCGCATCTTGCGTTTCAAGTCTGTAAATATCCGATGACATTTAAACTATTATACGAAATATTTGACTTTCTATTCGCGTATGCCGACGTTATCGCCGTCTTTCAGGGCACTAGACTACTGTCCAACTTACGTTCATCTATAGGGCAAGCACCCCTAGTAGAGGCTTATGCTCAGGAGCGTAACAAACTGGTTCGATGCCATGTGATATACACGACTTCCAAATGATTTTAATTGAAATGTTTCTTTTCCTTTCTATCGCTACTCTATTTCATTATTATTATTTTATTATAGATTTAGTTCGATATTCGATAAGGTATCATTTTCTTTTATTCTATTTTGATTGCTTATAAAATTCGATCAAACGAATAACTGAACCGAAAATTATGAATATTAATTACACATTTGCTTATCCTTTATAAATTTTGACCAAGATAATATAATGTTTCATTAAAAAATGTTATTCTATGTTAAATCAGTATTATCAATCTTTGGAAATATGACTTATAATAATATTTGCTACTTCTTGTTATTCATAAATTAACTTTATCGTATAATAAATGTATAATTAAAAGTAGTATAATGAGATAGATAATTTAATTGGAACATCTGTTTTAACGCAAATCATAAGGGTTACTTATAATTGGCAATTGTGTCAAGGTTTTATATACAATTAATCTCTAAACGAGGCCAACGTATTCCATTTCATCTTCGTTAAATGATCACGTACTTCCCATACTAGAAATAATGCTTTTAATCTTTAACATTTATAATTACCGAATTATTCACGCGCATTTGTATGAGTTTAAAAATAATTAGTAATCCATCGTTTGTGAAAATCGAAAAAGATTCGACTTTCGAATATTTCACTTGTCCTAATAATTCTAATGTCGTTTTAAATAAAAAGACAACTATGTCAAAATAAGCAATTAGGCATAAATTAAATTCTGATAAAGAATCAAATAAATATTATTTGAGATATAACAACACTTTCATGAATTTTACTTGCAACAAGAACAAAATCATATTATTACTATAAATAAATTTATTAATATATTTAAAAAAAAATATTAGAAATTCGGATAGAACGTTTGTCCGAAAAAGGAGGTCGCAAATATATATACATATATATATAATTGGTACATCACTGCATTAATAAATCGTGCCAACAACAAAAATGAAGCAATTAATTGAAAGTAATATTATAAAATCCGTTTAAAACGGAACTCATCAAAGTTTATCGAAATGAATAATTGACCCAAAAGAATTCTTTCGTTTCTTGTAAATTAAATCGATTCACGAAGTTCACTGCAATTATGAAAAATGGGTCTTGCGAATTGATTATTTTGAAGCGAGTTATATTGCAATAGAAAAAATTATTTTAAACAAGAATAAAACAGAAAAGAAAAAAGAATATGAAAAAATGTTACTTCTTATTGGCACAATCTCCTTCTACGAGCACTCAGAGACCTACCATGATGTTGTACAGTCATGGAAAATCAGTACAGGCAAAGTAGTATGGATATATGGCTTCCCTGTGTGCTGTCAGTCGTATCAGGATTAGTCGGTTCATTCGCATACGATGTGGGGCCTCTAGGGCTGTAGGACAATCGCAATCACGAAATGACCTCTTACCTTGGTATCACGAATTTAATGTATGTACTATTAGCAGGACGTATAAGACTGATTCAGAATCATAATCATATATATATGTGAATAAATATATAATATGAAATGAATATGAATAAATATATAAGTAATAAAGTTTTGTCTTTGAATTATCTATCAAGATAACTTAAGAAAGTGTTTCTATAATATATTTCAAATCTAGTGTATATACCAAAAGCAGTAAGTGCATATAATAAAGAAAAAATCAAAAAAAAGCTAATTATAAAATATCTAAATATATATGACCTCATATTGGAATTCATAAGGACTCCCCAAGATTTTCGAGCTCTTCTAATACGTAATTAATATCTTGCATATCTGTTCCAGAATTTTGTACTACGAATCGAAAGAAATTTGGTTTCTCGCGTAATGGTTGATAGTTGATCATTAAACTACCTCTTTTTACCATTTTCCCCTTCAACTTAGGAGCTACCTAAAAAATAAGAAATTTATAAATAATATTTTTTTATTTCACTATAATTTTAATTAAATTTTTATTTTATAAATTTTTAGAATATATATACATATATATATATATATTAATCGATAAGTAATGGTATCTACTTGACCGACAGTTAACTTACAAATAAGTTTCCTTATTGACGTTTGAAGGTAACTAAATAAGAAATATTTACTGTAGATCATATACCGATTAAATCAATTATGCGTATGTTATATAGCAATAAATTTGTTTTTCTTATTTGTAAGTTATAATACCTAGCATTTTTAAATACAAAAAACAACTTATTAAATAGTATCATAATAAAACAAGAAAGTAAATTCTAAATTTTTAATTTTAAACTCTCTTAATATGTGCCATTAATAATTAATATACGTTTTAATCATAAGAAATAAAATAATTCAAAGTGACTAATATCTAAATTTCATTATAATGAAACAAGTAGTTAACTGTTACCTTATTCAATTCTTTCTCGTAATTACATATAGAATGCTTGTCTTTCAAGTGCGAAGGAATGAACCAAAAACACACATTGATAAAACATGGCTGTGTTACTAGCTCAAAGTTTTCTTTTTTCTCAATTTCGTCTTTAAAATAAGCTGACAGTGACATTAGATGATCAATGTGTTTTTCAAAGCCCAATGATCCCTGTAAAAAAAATTATATTAATAAAATACACAAATAATAAAAAAAAACATCAATTGTGGGATTTAAAAAAAAATATATATATAAAAAATAAAAATTTTTGGCTTACGGTCTCGAGAGACCAGACCTCGCAACCGGCTATGCTCAACGTATAATTGCCTAAGTTACGTTTCTTGATCGAAAAGATCTTCAGGGTAGGATGATCAGTCAGTCCTACGCCGTCCCAAGATCATCGTGGCAATTTGCGAAGCCTTTTACCGGTAAAAACACAGAGCGCAAACGCTCTCATCCACGACGGAGCAGGCATGCTTTTTCGTTCGATGTCGGAGATCGGGACTCGAACCCGCGACTCCGGGTGGGAGTCGAGCGCTCTGCCGACTGAGCTATACCGTGCCCTTATATATATATATATATATATATATATTATAACTGATAACTGACTGATACAGAAGAGTAACAAATAGACGAAAATTAACTAATTGTAAGACTTTAACAGACAGAGATTAACTTAATACAGACGGAGATTAACTTTTTAACTTCTCTACTTATTTTCACATATTTATATCAAAAGCAAGCTACGCCCTTCTAAAGAGGGACAGGGAACATATGAATCTTATTGGCCTCCAGTACCACTAGAGGTGGGGATGAAAATCGGAAAAAATCGCAAAAGGACTCTTTTCGGAAGCGGCAGTCTTTTATCGTCGGCATCGCTTTGTCTTGAATGTTATTGCTAACGGTTTCTCTTAAGTAAACGATACCTTTATACCCTCAATTCGCATCGGAAAGATCGCAAGGTTTTATTTAACTAAAATAAAGATCGCACTTCAAACAGGAAATAGGAAATTAAATAAATATTGAAGGAAAGGAAATAAATGTAAAAGGAAAGAAATAATATAAAAGGACAGGAAATCATATATAAGGCTTATCGTTTACAAAGGAAAAGAAAATTAAAATATGTAACATTATAAGACTTATTGCCTACACAATATAACTAAATTCAAATTATTATTATTATTATTATTATTATTATTATTATTATTATTATTATTATTATTATTATTATTATTAATT